GCGGTAGACTGCGTACAGCGTACCGGAAAATAATGCGGTATCGCCCGCTCATTTTGAATGGCTGCATCTGTACATTTACAAAAAAAAACATTTCCCACAGAAAACTTTTCAGATTCTTATTGGGACTGATCAATGACAACTGGTCAAATGTCAGTGGATATTGATAGATATTAAATTAAGAAAATGAACAATTAAGCAGCCTTCACTTTATTAATTAGCCTTCTGTTTAGTGAATGAAAAACTAATTTTCATTCATATTTTAAGGTTAAGTGTGGTACATTTAAATTTGTTTACAAAACACAACCTTTAACTTGTCTATCCAACATCACATCCTCCTCAATCATCACACTAAGAGGGTTTTTAATAGTTTTGTATTGTGTTTGCGTCTTTGCCTGCCAGCGCAAGATTCATAGCATCTTCATCAGACTGGTCCTTAATTTAACAAAGACTGACGTGAAAACAGAATAAGCACAATTAGCTGCTCTCACCTGTTGTCTCTGTACCGTGAGCTGGATTGCTGTGGGCTGTGATTTAATCTTCTTGAGAATTTCTTTTCTCGTTCTTCATCTTTGCTTAGCTGTCACAAAAAAAAGAATGCTTACAAGTTCCCATCAATGGACTTCTAAATGTAGGCAGAGCGAGTGGAAAATATGGACAATAAATGCTCTTTTCAGTTACTTTGGACTCTGACAAGAATTACTGTGCGATTGTTGGAACTTGCTACAACCTTTAAGTTTAAGTGTTTTGTTCACATAAAAGAAGATTTAAGTATGGGGATTTAAAACTAACATCAATGGTAAAGGCTGCTTCAACAATATAATGTGCTACCAAAATGATATGATTTAATAGCATAAAAAATCTGTTAGTGGTAGGCACTGACCAAAGATAAGAATGCCGCTATGTAGAATAAGTTAAAATATGATAAGGTCTTAATTTACATTACCAAACAAAATAACTAATATAACAGACTTGGATTTTCCATGTAAACATAATGAGGCACAGCAGAAATCCAAAGTCTGAAAAATTAAAGAATGTGCAGTAGACGGTAAGACTGAGCGAGAAACAAAAAAGGCAGCCTTTTCCAAACATTTCAGGTTGCAAAGTTTATGCCGTATGGTTGACAAAGTTATTTTCATGTTAGATCGACCCCCAAGCTGGTAGAAAAAAAAAGTGCAAAAGACAATGTATTAGATTTACTGGCTTTAGAATGTCTGTAAAACAGCTCTTGAGAAACCTGATGCCTTACACTAAGGGATCTCAAACCTGGAGGCCCACACACCTACTGGTTTCCATTCCAGCCAACGTTAACTACTCATTTTGAGTTAAGGCTTCAATTAACAAGTTGCTTGATTGGAATATAAGTTTTCTTCTACTGAAAAATGTAGAATCTCACTTATGAAATCCAATAGTTAAAAGGCAACCTCCAACATGTTCAGACAGTTCAAATTCATTCTAGTAAGTCACATAAGTGTTCAATTGTGTAACCGCTTGACTAGAACAAACAAACAGTGGGTGTGAGGGTCTCCACTATAAGGTTTTGGAACCCCTGCTTTATAGCATTCTACTTAACGATTTATCAGTGTTGACCTTTTTCACACTCAGCACTGTGAACATTCTTATTTTATTTCTTTTATTTTTTTCTTCATAACTTTGACAGGACCTCTCTACATACTAGATAAATGCTTCACTGCTAAAAATTAATTTATAGATCTTCAAAAAAAAACTTGCTTATTTTAATTTACTGCAGTTCCCTGTACCTTCCTACAATTTAAGAGGAAGAACAGGACCTTCCAAGAGAAACTATCAACTTTTAGCCCATCTAATCTCAATTTCCTGCTGCTAATGACAAAGAATTTTGGAGTGAAATGAAACGATCTATGCACCTGAGGGTGTTTTTTTGCAGTTATATTTTTTGCTTGATCCTCACATATGTTAACAGTCCAACTTTGTTATATTATGACATAAATTGTATTGTATACTCTTTCATTATTTCTCTTCTGTGCAACAATGGTGTGAAATGCATGGTCAGGTCATCATTGGTAATGAGAATTTCTTGTTAATTCACTATTCTGGTTTAATAAAGAATTATATACTTCATTAAAAGCATAGGTTTTTGTGATGTATCCTGGCTAAAGTCTATTCTAGGTTACATCTTTCATACACAAATTTCCACTTTTGTTCAACTGTTGAAGCAGTTTCTCACTTCTGCCTGATCTACTGTGGATGAATTAGGTTATGTACCCACTTACAAATAAACCACTTTGAAATCAAAGCAACATATATGTAATTATTGAATCTCCATACCTGCACTGCAATTATTTTGTAGATGAGAAAGAAACATTGACTGTTCCTTGATTAGATAATAAACTTAAAATGTTCTTAGATCCTATTTAATTTACAGTTTACAACATTATAAAAACATTCAATTTGAAGACTAGCATTGGTTCAACTTTAAAGAAGAGGTTTCAATTAAACAATCTATTGATGTGTCTTGTTATTTTTGTTCCAGAGCTGGCTAACAATGACAACATTACACTGAACACAATATTCATGTCTTTGCTTAAAAATCCCAAATAATGCATTATAATAGCATAGTACTGTTAACAGTGTATCTAAGTCACACAAATTTTCCTTCTACAATACGTACAATACTTAATGTGGCTTATGCTTTTACAATCGTATAACAATTTTCTGAAATCATTAAAAGATAAATCACTAAAATAAATCATTAAAACCAAGTTTTATTTTTCAGTATTTGTAAAACAAAATGTAACTTGTCATAAACTACAGCCAAACTGGTCTTCAATATATCAACATATGAAATCAACCAAATTATCTGAATAAAAGACATCTCAATCACCTCTTCTTTTTTTAGGTCATCTTTTTCTGGCCGTTGATGAGCCTCTGTTCGTACAGTTGACGATGGCTGCTCATATTGAGGTAGATAACTCTTTGTATTCACAGCTTCGAAAAGTTTATCTACAAAGGTATGGGTTTCTGTAAATACAGAAAGACAAAAGTAGCAATTTTAGCTCAGAAAAGCTTAAGACTTAAGGCACATACACAGTATGTAACCAAAAGGTGCATAAAAAACATTACATACATCTAATAAAATAAGCACATTGTGTTGCAAAACGAGTTTTTAGATATATTCTTCACAGTATAATTAAGCATTTTTGCTATATTTGGCCACAAACACTCCAGGATAAAACACATTTTATTTCTGATAAATCCTTAAACCAAATCCCCAATTCTGTATCACTGAGATTATATTCATATACTGAAGCTGAGTTAAGAATCATTACAGAAGCATTCTGAACCATACCCACCTTTTTGAAGAAATACATCCAACTGGTCGATGCATAGTGCTTTCAGTTCTTTCTCCGTTTTATCCTTTTTCACTAAGGCAACAACATATTTAGCTAGGGCAGATGGATCAGCATCACATCTGAAGAGTAAAAGGCAGCAGCAGATTATAAAATAGTCATACTGCACAGAAAACTAATTTATACATTTCATGTAAAAAAAATCAAATAAGTGATAATGCTAAACAATGCTGGAGTTTATTTTGTTAGTGTCTACATTTATTGTTATTCATACGTTACACTAGCTAATACCCTTGAAGAGCGGCGTGGAGGCTTCGCCATACAGCCTAGTGTAAAGACCATGTGTAGGTAAAAAAAAATAACTCTTCAGGAGCTTGGGTTTCACAATCCTTAGCGTCCAACATATTGGGTTTTACGAAAGAAGAAGTGTATGGTAAATAGAAATATTAAAATACAGCATTCGAGATATTTTCTTAAATTACTGGTGTCAGATGCATAAACATTTAATATCTGCAGCTATCGATTAGTCTCTAAAGTAAACAGCACAGAACAAATTAACTTAGTATCCGTAGACGACCTGCGTAGACAAGAAAAAAAACCGGAGTCCCTGCATCTAAGAAATATATTATGAACATGAGTTTTACTTTCAATGTAAAAACAAAGTCTCTCTACACTCCTTCAGTAATACAAAAGTTAACAGCTACTTACATAGGTTCGAGGGTCTTTGAAAGCCAAGACTTCAGTGCATCAAGGTTTTCTATTATCATTTTAGAAACTGATCAGCTCTACAAAAACGCTTTCAGGGCAAAGCCCCTTCCGAGCGGTAAAAAAGATTAAACAAGGGAAACAAATGTGCTTTTTTCCAACAGCAACTTGCAATGTATGCCGAAAACCCCCCAAAAAGGCCCAACGGTACCTATAGAAAAGCAGGATCGTGGTTTTGGCGGATTAGAACACTATATTTCTTTTCCGTCAGTTTGCTTAAGATAGGATAAATTGGAGGCTACGTCTTGTAAGAAACTGAATTATATAAAGGTAAAATAATTCACGTTAGCTAGACTTTTTTCAGTTTCCTTCACCTCTTACTCCACGAAAATGGCGGCCGTTTACTATCATTGCAAGGCAAGAAATCGCGAGATGATCACCCTCGCCTTTTGCCTGTGTTGTTACGTCACCAATATTAAAGATTACGTCTTTAGAAAAGAGGATGAGGGCGTATTTCTATTTAGTTAATGAAATGACCATTGCATTGTTCTTAAAATAAGCCTTTAAAATAAATATCACCATACTTATTTTTAATTTTAATGATTAAGTTTAGACAAGGCACTGTGCCCTTTTCATCAGTCACATGGCGATGGCTGGATAAAGCATGATGCATCTGGCTGTGTAAGCATAGGCTGTAGTTTTACCACATTAAAAAAATACCAATAATACAGAGCATAATCCAGGAGAATGAAACGGTCCTGGTACTAGGCAGATGACCTATGCAAATCTAAATTACTATAAAATCAAACTCACCCAGCACATTTAAGGCAGCTGTGGGCCGTAATGATTAGAACTCTGGATTTATAGCTCAACTATTGTGCCCTTGAGCAAGCTGTTTTACATCAGTAAAATGCTCCACATATGTCACATATGTCTGAAAATATACAAATATACAAGATTTCACCCAGCTAAATTATATATATATATTATTCGGTGGGTGGAGGGAAATAGAGCATAGAGAGAAAATCAGAGTGAAAATACCCAGACCAATGTTGTCCATCATGCACTCTGACTCTTGTCTAGGGGTCTATAATACTGTATTCAACTGTTTTTTTTTTAAATACTGTGTGCTTAAGGAGAGTAGAAAATATAACACCAAGTAAAAATTAATGTTGTAAATACTTTTAAAAGGCACTGTAAACATGTGGCTTGTTTTAAACAGCAAGGGTAAAATAGAATGTAATTTATATGTAGAAAACAGTGGTAAATAAACCAGTTTTACTGTATTGGGCATTGTTGTTACAGATGTTACATTTGTCAGATGTCATCGAAAAATAACACGAGAAACTACAAGGTACAACTTAATTATCAAAATGGTCAGCAAAAACATCAGACATCTATTTTTTGTGTAATAATATGGTTTTGGTGATGATGAAAAAGGCAGGCCCTTTTAAAAATCTCTATTGTTTTAAATTCCATTGTTAGCAAACAGTTGTTAGGCGCTACTGAATACTAGTTGGTCGAGGTCAATGGAATCGTTTAACAAATGTACTTTTGGACTCGGGTCAGGAGTGCAGCCTTAGGCAGGTTTGCAACTCATTTCTGTTTCAGAATGCACATCGTGTAAAGTTTTTCACAGGGATTGGTTATAGATAGCCCACATCCTGAATTGTAAGAAACTCTCCGATGACTAACCCAAGTCACAAGCAATGGTTTTAATGCTTTTTCCCTAACAAAACTGAAATACGTTTCTATCCACCTATTGCTTGCAACGTGCAGCTCAGAAGGAGGGCATTTATAGTGAGACGCTTTACGCCTACACGTAGTACGTCACAAAAGAGCTTCAGGATTTTTTTCTCCTTTAATGTAGGTTTCTTTTTTCGTCGGCGTCTGTAGATGTTTTCGTTAGGCTTATTCACCTAGTTAAATTAAATGGATAACGATCATTTTTCACATTTTAATGAAACTAAAATCAAGTGACTTTTTCAAAATAGTAAATCTTACAGCAGAATCCGAATAAAATAACCGTTTGTGGTTATCGACGAGAAGCTCTAGGATCTGCCCCAGTTGCTGTTTTTTTCTTGTGTCTGTGTCAGACGAAGTCAACAAGATGGAACATCACCAGCCAGTGAGCAGATACCAAGTGGTAAGGATCCCGAACATATTTTTTTAGACACAAGATTTTCTAATCTTTTTTTTCCCTCTTAAGGTAATGTACCTTTAAGGTTGTTTGTGATCTGCTAAACTATGGTCGACGATTTTACGTATTTCAGAGGGATTGTGGTTTACTATTTTTCTTCCTGTATTTATGTGCGTATCTTGGTTACTTTTAAATATTATCCCTATCACAAGAAAACTTGTTTTACGAAAAACGAATTTTGCTATCAATCTGCGTTGCGGCCAGGAATTGCTTCACAAGACAGTCCTGTGTAGGCGCTTTAGTTTACCCCTCAGGTTATCTGGTTCGATAACAAAGTTCCTGTACACCACATGACTCGCAGAATTTAAGTTATGTGAGAAATAATAGTTTTGTGTTTGGCAAAATATCTGTGGTCGTTTTAGACAAGGCACTACCTTCCGAATGAGGCCCTGCGTACAATAAGATTTTTTTTCCTTCTGAGGATTATTTAATGAGGCGAACTTTGTATACTTTAATGCCTGTTTATTCGTTAATGCTTACAAAATAAATTAAAACAGGATTCAATTGTGAATGACAAAGTCGGAAAAAAGTCGGAAAAAAGCTCAAGAGAAACAAATCTGTGAAAAAAGGTGTCTAAGCGTGGCAGTAGTTTATTACTTGTACTGGTTAGTATTGCTGCCTCGGGGTACCTGGATTCAATGCTTGACCTGGGATACAATCTGCTACCTCCCACAGTCCCAAGACATTCTTGTTAGATTAAGTGGCTGCTAGGTAAATTGGTCTTGGTGTGAGTGTGTGCGTCTGTCTGTGTCTGTGTATGCCCTGTGGTGGATTAGTGTGCTATCCAGGGCGTATTCTGCCTCGTGCCTATTGCCTATCAAGATAGGCCCCGGCACCCCCGCAACCCTGAGTTAAATCACTTTACCACTTTACCTGGTGTTTGCAGTGCTATCTTTTTATACTCGTATTCCAAATGTGAGAAAAGTGTACTTAAAATGTGGTTCCAGATGTACACTGTAGACTTTTCAGCCCCTTACACTACTTGTCCCCTAACCCATTGCCTTCACAGATATTAATTACTCTTGACCTTGAACCTCATAACCACAATACACTCTTTGCCAAGTTTGTTTACAAAACAAGAATCTCATTTGCTTTACTGAGAATTGTTATTATTGGGAAGATAACCTTAATCACCCTTGTGTAAGAGGATGCTTTTTTCATAACGTATAGATATTATAGTCAAAGAATTCAATTAATTGAGTTTCATCAGAAGTGTTGCTTATCCTTCAGCTTTGTGATCCAGAGTTTTTGGGTTTTAAAAATCACATATTAACCTAAAACAAGCTATTCATGATATTATTTGAATAGTAATAGCACAGTAGGTAGCAATGATAGCTTAACTTGTTAAGACCATGGAATGCGTGCTTTGTTGACTCTTTTTAAATTCTGGAATCTTATTGTGTAGTGTTAAATATAATTGCCTGATGCTTTTTAAAAAATATTATTTTAGTCAGAATTATTACAGCAGACTTTGCTGGAGCAATCTGGAAAACACACATTCTAAGATACAGCTGCGGTATCCCACAGGGTTCTGATTGTGATCTAGATCCATCCCATGCATACAACAAAATAAAACTGAAAAGGTAAAGGAAATCTTTTTTTTAACACCTTGAACAAACAGTCCAATTATACATACATATAAAATCAATATTTTTTAATATGTTGTGTCAGAATAGCTGTGTTTATGCTGTAATTTCTAAAAAAAAGCCTGCCTTTGTATCCTTTTAACTTAAAACAATGAAAATAAAAAAAATCGGTAACAGAGCCACACCGGTATTATATGTGTATAGAACTGTTTAGTTCGCAAAAAAAGAGAAAATTGTAATGTTGTGGAAGTTTGTGTGTTTTCTTTAATTTGTGTGAGAGAGAGGTTAAAGATTAAAAAAAAAATTGGTTAATCCTGAGATGCCCCATTTAGAGTTAAAACAAAAGGGGGTCCACTATGTAAAAATATTATTCCTATAGTAGTAGTTATGCTCCAGATTGTTTATTCCACACTACTGAAAGAACTACTGCAAAAAGGCTGCTCTACAGATAAGGACTAGCCCACACAGGTGTTAAGAGTGGACAGTTTTACATGAATGTTGAGCAACTAAACCTGGAAAAAGAATAGTATAAAATGTTTCTATTCAAAAGCCTTTGTTTAGGGCAGGATTTGGGACTGATCCAATCAGAACAATGGAGATAGTGTTGCAGATGATCCTAGTTTTGACAGTAACCTCTTATGTTTTGCATCAACAGATTGTGTAATCTGACCTTTCTAATTTGTTTCTGGGAGCCACACTTTTTAAATATATTTAAAGAGAGGCTCCTTTTTGGTGTGTTGTATTGGTTTTATCATTAATGTATGAATTATCGCTTTCCGTTTAAAATTTATGAAATAGTAACCTTAGTTAAGTGTATATTGCTCACATTTTAATGCAGTTACAGTATGTGAATAAATCCTTCTAGTTAAACTCCTTTTTTACATAGTTGTTTTCTAAAGAAATGTCTTAACCATGTTTAGTCACTAAAATGATCTAACAAGGTACTTTTTTGTTTGTGCTTTCATGGATTTTTGTGGTCACATTGTTCTGGAATTTGCTTGAATAAGAGTTTAAACTTTTCTGGGGCAGTCTGAACTCTTTGTGGAGCAGTTATGTTTTGCATTTGTAACCTGTAATGCTAAAGAAAGGAATATTTATTGAATCACATTTCACTTCCCCTGCTTTTGGATTTCTTTGACCAAAGCAAAACTTTCTATGTGAAAAATCTAGAAGATTGAATTTCAGAACTGTTCAGAAAGCTATTCACATGATGCACTATGAACATTGTGACCCATGTGATCTAAATGGGAGGCCTGCTAAATTGTATTTTACTTCTCTTAGTTTAAGTTTTTAGTTTTCATTAAAATTAAATTTTCATAAAAATGGAGACATGTCTGTTTCTTGCCCACGGCTATAGACATGTACGAAACAGTATTTGATAAAAGATTGTATAAAATAGACTGATATAACACTATTTGATGCCCCTATGAACTTTAGGTCATAAAACAACTACAGTTCTTTTTTCCTGTTTCTACATATATCATGGTTGCTATGCAACATGCACAATAATGTGGTAGCTTTACAGTTTATGTATATGAATAGATCTTTGCTACTGGGTGATTTCTATTTAGCATCATCGTTATCTTTCTGATTGTGGTCAGCCCTGTTTTCTTCCTATTCATATTTTTCTTAAGCTCCTTTCTTTTGCTGCTCCTTAGAGCATGGACATTTTTACATGTTCTCGCAGTGCTACATTTTGCTAGATTTCATCCTCACCACCATGCTTATATATATACAAGTTGTTATTTTTTTCAAATGTACACTTGAAGATGTCTTGAAAAGTAATTGCATCTAGATAGAGCAATCCACTGAGCTGAGAGACTAAGAGGAGATCTTGTATTTTTAGCATTAGTTCAAAGGTCATATTTTGATCTTGGTTTAAAATGTTTTATTTTGTTATCGAGACTTGGAAGTGAGGTTGCATCCTAATTAAAGTTAGAGCTGTAATTGAGCAACATTATGTAGGGGTATATATGTAGGAGAATTAGAATTGTGCCTTTGTAAGATAAATGAACAGCGCATAGTGTAAAAGTAGAACCTCATAGATGCATGCAAGATGTAGTAATTCCTGTTTCTTTTAATTTAACAAATTGAATTTCACTATGACGAGCATAAGCCATACAAAGCATTGATAAGATTTCTTTTCTCACGTCTGCTCAGATGAGGAATTTACATTTTTATTGTATTACATTTTTATTATAATAATGGGCACTAATAATATAACTGCTGTGCAGTACTAATTGAGCAGGAATCTTATTGTTTTCCAACATATTTTTATGTATCGGCTAATTTTATTTGGATAATTAATCCTACTTGGGTACATTATTCTTTATTACCATCCTGTGCTGTATTAAGGTGAAGTTTTTGATTTCTGGAAGGTTCCATCCATTCATTTTCTAACTGCTTCTTCCAATCCAAGTTAGTGGGGGAGCTGGGGCTTATCCCAGCAAGCAACAGGTGCAAGGCAGGGAACACCCTGGACGATATGGCAGTACATTGCAGGGGTAACACAGACACACACACTGGCACACTGCTAGTCTTGAACTGTAGGAAGAAATCCACATGGATAAAGGGAGAACATACGAACTCCCTGCAGGTAGCACCCCAGGTCTGGAATTGAGCCCAGGGCTCCAGCACTGCAAGGCAACAATGTTAACCATTGTCACATCATACCTCCCAGTTCTGGATCCAATCGGAGATTATAACATGGGGAAGTAATCGTAATTTAACAGTTTAAGGACAGATTATATTTTTCCATCCTTTCTGAAAGAAATGAGGGATGTCATTCATAGACCTTGTGTTAGATCTTTGAGGATCTTCCATTAAAAAAAGGAGTTGTACCTGGTGATTAGATAGTTGCCAGTGTTTTAACCATCAACAAAAACAAAAATGAACTTGGCAAGTGTAGTCTTTTGCATGTCATATTTAAGGTTATGGAAAGGTTAATTAGAGTGAAATTGGAAGACGTTTTATATTTTTATGGCATAAATCTCATTGAGGATAAGCAACAAGGATTTAGAAAAGACAAATTCAATTCAATTTATTTTTATATACTGCCTTTCACAACAAAGTTGCCTAAATGTGCTTAACAATGCAAGTGACTATACATGTGAATACAGAACAGAAAAGACCAGAAGACAACGGAGGGGAGGAATCAAAAACTCCTTGGTAAGGAGAGAAAAAAAAACCTCTAGGGGTCTAAAATCCAACCCCTTTGGGCATGCTAACATTATACAATTAAAAAAGAAAAAAATGAATTGGGGTATTAATCCATCCATCATGTCTTTCTTCTGTATGTCAGTACTCCATGCAGATCTCTGTAGACCAGCAAAATATGATAGCTATATCCACGATGTCCCTCTTGGATCTATGGCAGTGATGCAACATCCATCTCAGACGGTGCTCAGTATATTATTTGAGTCCAGATACGATTGAAGTTGGGCCAGAACTATTATCTCAAGAATTTTAGATAGAAATGAGATGTTTGAGACAGGCCTGTAGTTTTTAAGAACTTGTGGGTTCAAATTTGGCTTCTTAAAGAGCGGTTTAACAACCTCCTGATCCCTCCAAATATAATTCATTATTCTTCGAGTTGTGGCGCACTATTGGGTAAGGTAAGATTATTTGTTCCAGGTTTCGCAGTGAGCTTTGTGACTTTTTGTATGTTCCTCTTTTCTAATTGGTGCACCTCTGGGGTTTACTACAGCAATCTTTAATCATTTTAAATACAAAGGAATAGTTAGTTTGAAAGGTCATAGAATTAGTACTGTGGGGTCTCTGTAAAGAGTAAAATCATCTGTCTCTGTAAGTTCAGATGTTCAGTTTCAAACCACTGCCCACACAGTGGTATGATAAATCATCCATGAAACCATGGAGCTTTTTCAATAAATCAGTCTTTAAAGTGGTAGAGAGGCAGTAGGGACAGTTATTTAGCCCTTTGAGTACAGTGAAGTCTGTCATTAAAAAGTGGATTGTGCATTATCACAAGCCTTCCTAGTTTGGGCCGAACTAAGCAGCCAGGCAAGAAGGGAACTGGTTAAGGATGCCAGTGTTGAGTCTGAAAGATTTACAAAGTTCTGTGTCTGAGATGGGAGTTACTGTTCATACATCAACAATGTCCCAATCCCTTCTGGGACAAAGGTGACCTGTATGGGTGAGTGCCACGAAAGAAGCCTTTGCTGAAAAAGACCAATCTCATATGGAGTATACTGCAGGGACGGCGTAAGGTGCAATGGTCAGATGAGACCAATGCAATGTGTTAGGTCTGGTACAAGCACAACGCAGCATACTGACAGTCAGCACCATCAAGCACGGTGGTGGCAGTATCATGTTATGCAGATACTTTACGCAAGTAGAGACTGGGAAGCTTGTTAGGACCAAGAGAAAAATAAGTCTTACAAAACATGGATGGACTCAAGAATAAAGTTTACTTAAGTTACTTAGGAATCTAAAAAGTAGTTAAAAATTCAAATTCCATCTCGGCACCTGACCTGCAACACAAGGTCAAAGTTTCGCTTAGGTTGTCAAGAAAGAAGTGAATATCGGCAAGAGGCCTTGTCAATGTCATGACTTCAATCTAATGGAACATTTAAAGCGAGTCTTGAAAATTGTAGTCTATCGAAGATCCCCAATGAATGTGCCAGAACTGGAGCCATCTTTCCAGGAAAAATTAGTAGAGACACTAGCTGCAAAAGGTGCTTCTACCATGTACTGAGGGGATGAAATCATATGTAATCGGTACATTTCACTTTGGATATCTTCCTTTTTCTAGTATGCAACCACTTTCGCATATACAGTAAGTGTTTGGTTTGATCATTACAGTTTTGAAAAACATATACTTGTGATAAATCAGAATGTGATTGTTGCCAGGTAGCCTTGGAAAAATATTGATTCCCTAACCATATTGTTGAAGCCAATACCCTGGTTTCTTTTGAGAAATGGGTAGTTAAGATCCTTTTCTCACTTAACTACTGACTACTATATGGGCTAAAGGGGCCAAATTGCCTCCCTTCCTTTGTAACCATTGTTATGTTTTTAATTGTCATGAATTGATGTAAGTGAAGGGGAATCATTAGCTGCTGTTGTAATTTGAGACTGCAGTGGAACAATAGTCACTTTCTTATTCTGAAATTTGTTATTGTGGGTAGAAGCTCAAAAACATGATTGTTTTTAGAGAACACTAAGCAATATGCTCCCACAGATCATTTATGTATCCTCCACTATCAAGTATATTATGAATTGGGTCTTTGTATCTTAAATCAAATCACTTGAACATCTCGACCACTTTTTATGTGAAATAGGGGTACTATTCTATATTAACTAGAACTGTTGAACATTTTCTCAAGTAAGCTATCATCAACGTACAAATGCAATACTGATATATATATATACATTGTTGTATCATTTCAATTTGTGATGTGCTTACAGATAAGTTCTTAACTTACTGCTGCACAAGGTTCATGGGTTATAAAAAACAGTTCTGTATAGTGCATGTCATAAACATTAGTTTGAAAATGTGTGAATTGCTTTTGCAGCTTACAAGAACTAAGCAAGTTTTGCTTGCTTTCAGGAAAGCATTTGTCATCTCCTTTTTTTGCACTTATTAAAAGTACAAATTGTACATAAGCAGTGAGTAACACCTGTATTTTCTCTGGGGATTTCCTCAATATTTTATCACATTGTAATGCTCATTGCTTCTAATTGTATTGTATAATTTACATTTTAATTTAATGTAATTTAAAGTGTGTATGTCATGTATTTCAAATATGAGTCAAAGTATATCCTTCATATTTCATCTAAAAGTATTGCTTACTTTCTGGTGTGAGGAAAGTAGACTCCCCCAGCCTGACGGGCACATCTGGAGGTCAGCTGACTTTTAGACCACTCTGGATCATATTTCTGCAGTATTGAGGTTTCGTGTGTTAGCTGTTTTGTTTACAAACTTAATGTGCTCTTCAAGAATTGCTATATTGCCGTACATACATATAGTCATTTTTTGACAATCAGGACACTTAAGTGTAATTCCAGCACTCCATTTGTTTGGTTTGGTTTAATGATCATTTTAAGTTTATATTATAGAAAATCTTTATTTAAAACTGTAGCTTGATTAAAATAGTTTTACAAATTGAACTGAAGATTAAGAAGTGACTTTGATCAGTTGTTATATAATAATTCCATTAGTATTAAGCAAATTAACTTTCATCTCGGTCATTTCTACATGCATACCCTCAACAGTATATAATCAAATTCTATTCAAATTAATGTTAGAATATTCAGATAAATGCATCACAATTTCTTATCATATATAATGTTTCTTTCACTTTTCCACTTGGATCCCAGATGCATTTAACCGAAACAAAAAGCCAATTTCAATGGACATAGCCTTTATTACAGGTTAATCTTTAATGGAAAAAATACTTGAGTTATTGTAATATAAGAAAGGGCATCATTGTATGAGAATGTTGTTCATAAGTCACCAGAGTAAACAAGTGCAAAAATGTTGTGTTAGAATGTTTAGTACATGGTATTTTTTTAATTAAAATATAGACAAAGTAAAGATGTGCATTGTATACAGAGAGCTACAACAGTACAGCGCACATCTGTAAGTAGGTCTAATCAATATTTGTAGAATACTCAGAGCAGAGAGTGCTTTGCTGCAAGACAACATTTTAATAGACTAATGGGCATGTAACCACATCCATTGCTTTCTTTGAGATTTTTTTATTCTTTGTTTTTATTTAGTTGCATAATGAGGATGATCCATCTGAGCCATCTGCCAGTGAGGCGGCTTCCAGTTCTGCACAGATTGCAACTCCTTCGGAAACTGTAGTGCCACTGGAGGCCGAAGTACCTCCTCCACCTTACAGCAGTGTTGCATTAGGAGCAACTGCGGCTCCAGGTAGAGTAAAGCCACATTAAAAAACATGTCATGTTTTGTTTATATTCAAACATCTTTCTTTTCTGTGCAGATGAATGAATGCAGAAGTTTGCCTTTGCAGGGGCTAAAAGCAAGCCTAAGAGTTAACCTAAATTTTTTATAATACAACATGCATCTTTTTAAATGTATTGAAATCTGTAGGCAATCAAATGCAACAATTTATCGTGTTTGCAACATCTACCCAAAGTGCTATACTTGGCATTTGTGATTATGAATAATGCACAAGATCACTAATTGTTTCACAAGTTCATTCTAAAAAAGATTTCAAAGTATGTATTTTTAATAAATTGTTGAAAATCAATGGAAGAGTTTTATTTTTTGTTGGACCAAACTTAGAAATGAGAATCTGAATTCAGAAACTAGCTCATTTTCAATGAACTTATTTAACTTATTTTTGTATTAATAGTGTATGTTTTGTTTAATTCTCTTTTTTGTATATAGAATACCATTTTATTATACTACTTCATTTGCAAAGCAAAAATGCCATATTTGGTTTCAGATACTTTGAAAAAGTTTTAGTCAGTTCCACAAGATGAATCTTCTTGTGTGTGGGTGTTTTTCTGAGAAAACAACAGGAAGTCCGCATTAACTGAAACAACTGTTAATAAAGTTGTTTAAATACTTAATGTGCTGTCGACCGCAAATTTCATTAAGTTAATATAATGCATTTAAAATTTCAAGAGAGTGCAAAAAGTTACCTGCTTAAAATGTAAATACTATGTTTTTGGAGTTAGCTTGCTTACTGTAATAGGATGTGATAACCACACCTGATCTTGTGTTACCCAGGTAGATACTGTACTGCAGTGGGGGGTTAAATGGCTCCCTTCCAATATGTAAATTACATTTTGGGATCATGTAGATGAAAAATGCTATAGTAGTTAATATAATTATTCCTGATGCCAAATTAAATGTTAAATGTTAATGGACAGTTGTAGCACATGAAACATGGTAATTTAGGTTACAACCTGGTATAATACTAAATTTCAGAATTATTTGTTTGGAAGTGACAGTAAAAGAATGATAACAAGTGGACATGCTCCTCCGAGACCCCCCAATTGTCAATTGCCTCATCATTCTTTTCTCTTCATTTGAAATTTGCATTGTGTCTTACAACAACAAAAGTGTTTATTGGAGCAGTGTCTCTTATTGCTGGTATCACTGCACACTCATAAGGTGCCTGAAATGTCCTTGATTTTGCTGTTGCATCAAAAGTCACCTTAATCTGGCCAACCCTGATTGCAATTGACCAGTTGCGTGCCACTACTTGAGGAACCAAATTCACAGGGATTTAATTGTCAACTGACTTCATGTACATGCTGGAGAGTCTGTGAAGCATAAGCATTGTCTGACATTGGAGTCATTTGACATGAAGAAGACCTGGTTTAGTGTTTCAGGAGAAATATTTGTTTTGTCTTTTGTTGATGCTACTACATCAAAGAGTTTTAGAGTTTCGCGTACCTGTACTGTGAGAATATTGAACCACTGGCACCTACCTGTCAGACACTTGTAAGACGTGGTGGCACACAACTAGTCAATTGCAATCAGGATTGGCCGGATCAAGTTGACTTTTGATGCAACAGCAATATCAAGGACATTTCAGGCACCTTATGAGTGTGCAGTGAAATCAACAATAAGATCTCCTAAATGAATCTGACTCAGTGTATGTCTGGCAGTAACAGATTACATACGCTAAAAATATTTTCTTTTGGGTTTGACTAACAAGTCATTTTATTTTTGAATAGATTTTTTTTTAATTTCAGATTTTACCTATTAAAAGACAATTTATTAGGTTATTAATAATGGTAGAAAGTGGTAGAAAACAATCCTTTTTTTCTGTTTAAATTATGATTTTTTTTCTCTACAGAAGGTGAATTTCAAAGTGATTTCCATCCTGTGCCACCTCCATACAGTGTTGCTACCTCTTTGCCTACCTATGATGAAGCAGAAAAGGCCAAAGCTGCAGCAATGTCTGCTGCTGCAGCAGATGTGGTGCAGCGGGTAAATTCATTTTAACTTCTGCTGTATTGAACCTGCATTGTTTTTTGTGTTCACTTGCATATTTCCCTTTGCGGCAGTCACCGTGAAACAAAAAACATATGGAATGGCAGCATGTGTAAAGGATCATTAAATCATTTTATCACATAATCACACGAGTAGTACAATCCAATCAAAATAATTACTAGTTACTTAATTCATTAGTGACGGACTTCCAAATTGATTGATCCCTTCAGCTATTTTTGTAAGATGAAAAATAACTGTTGAGAATCAATTCTAGCTAAAGCAGAAAATTCTTATAAATATGAAGATTAAAGGGAAATGTAGATCCAATTTCTCAGACCAGTTATGAAATCTCAGTAACAAAATAAATTGATGGTATCACAAAATGTTAAAAATTTCTAATTTGTTCACAAAATTGTGAACTTTGTGAAAGTACTGTATGTTTGTCATGTTGTCACAAATCCCTGGTCATGCCACGTGTGAACTCTAGACCAAATGATGATGTGAAGGGGCCAAACCTGTTCACTAGTCTCTGTAATTACTAATGTAATGTGATGTATGAGTGAATAACAACAGGTTGTGCAGCAGGCATTTCACTGCAGAAATGTTTCTATGTGATTTGCATAGAAAGTTAATGTTTAAAAGTTGTTCTGAATTGCAGAATATGGAGCTGTGCATACCTGGAATTTAATCTTGATTTATTATGTAAAATGGAGGTTTTACACGTTACTGTACATTTTAATTTTATTGTGATTTGAAATGCACTCATCAGTGCTGATTCTTTCTAACATTGAAACATAAAAAGTGTTGCAGTTCCCCTTAAATCACATTCTCTGTACTTTTATAATTAATAATAATTGCTTACACTTATATAGCGCTTTTCTGGACACTCCACGCAAAGCGCTTTACAGGTAATGGGGACTCCCCTCCACCACCACCAATGTGCAGCATCCACCTGGATGATGCGACGGCAGCCATAGTGCGCCATAACACTCACCACACATCAGCTATCAGTGGGGAGGAGAGCAGAGTAATGTAGCCAATTCATAGAGGGGGATTATTAGGAGGCCATGATTGGTGAGGGCCAATTGGAAATTTTGGCCAGGACACCGGGGTTACACCCCTACTCTTTTCGAGAAGCGCCCTGGGATTTTTAATGCCCACAGAGAGTCAGGACCTCGGTTTTACGTCTCATCCAAAGGACGGCGCCTGTTTACAGTATGGTGTCCCCGTCACTATACTGGGGCATTAGGACCCACATGGACCGCAGGGTGAGCACCCCCTGCTGGCCCCACTAACACCAGTTGTGAGTTGCAGGGTGATATGGCTGCTAATCAGGATCTGTTCTTCAGGCTATAATACCAGTTTGTTTGTGCATCCACGCCTTCTTAAATAATGTGTACTTTTTCAATGTGAATGTGAGAGGAATTTGTTCTTTTACAAAATCACTGAATAATTGCCCAAATGTAAAGTTCCTGGTGGACCCTTATAGTCAAAGAATGATTGAGAACTAGAAAAACTGCTTTGAAGAGTAAACTATACTTTCTTTTTGACCAATTTTATGTCCCCATCTCTTTACAGTACAGCTAAAGCATTTCCTCTCAACATGAGAAATGATAAAGGGATGGAATCCCAAAATGTAAAAGTTTTCCTTTGTTTTATTGATTTTCCTAACAACACTCCATACAGCCACTTTTCTCTCACTGTTGTGATTGGAAGAATGCTGACTTTGTACTTTCCAAAACCAGTTTCCATGCTTTTTGGCACTCCAGATTTGGCTATATTCCATACATTGTACGTGAATAAATGATTAGCCCATAACTGTAACTGTGGAAATCATTGAGATCCTGCAAATGTGTGGCCTCTAGAGGCCAGTGCTCTTATACTGCAGGTGCAGATTCACAGTAATGATTTCCATTGTATGAATGAATATGGTAACAGTGCTGCATAACTGTACTGCTTGAAGTCATCTCTTTTGTGATAGCAGAAATGTGGTTCAATGATAACCTTCCAAAAAAGTCTTAATGAAGCACAGTAAAAGCTTAAGTATCCAGCATTCATGGGGAATGGGAGGTGTTAGTTGGTTAAATAGGGTAGTAATACAGGCTCAAATGTGTTATTGTGCTTGGGTATACCTTTACTAATTGAGACAAGTGAGGGGCCAAAGTTCACAACTCTAATTAATGCATTCCTGAAAGAGTGATTCCCAGCTATCCCCATCGATGTGGGTCTTTGAGTTTTTGAAGGAGGTATTCTACTAGCCTTTTTAGCCTTCAGTTCACTGTGGAGTATGTATTTTGGGATACATCTAAGTCTAAGTTAAGAGTATGTAGTGTTTATGATATGAGCATGATCAAATACAGTTAATGATGCATGCTTTTAATTGTTCGTCCTTCCAGAATAGTCGAGTAATGCAGTATGTGCAGCCAAGGTGGAAACATATTCTCTTTTCCTAGTAGGTATACAAAGTCCAAGGCATGCCACTGAGCAGAAATGTTCTGTTTAGACTGGCTTGATAATTTTGTCTTTTTTTATATTCAGTCATTTTGTTGGTCCATACAGATTTGCCCAGTGTGGACATAGTTGTTCTTGTTTTTCTGATGCGAGTTGATTTTGGATCAAGTGTGAGGTTGTACATTTATGTCTTGTTTGTGGAGTTTATTGAGCTTAAATTAAGTTTATTAAGTTCAAGACAAATTGAGCCCATACCAAATTATGTTAAGCTTTGTGTATTTATAATCCTTAATTATAGGAAGGAGCTTGCCATGTTGAGGGTTGAAGAATCCTAGAGATATTGTATGTTTGTATGTTCTCCGTGTTCATAGGTGTTTTCTCTAGGGGTTCTGGTTTCCTCCCATCTTCCAAAGACATGTTGGCTAGGTTAACTGGAATCTGATATGTCAGTATGTGTGCTCGTGCATTACCTTATGGTGAAATGGTGTACTCCTACCTTGTATCCTGTGTTTCTATGATAGGCTCTGGGTTTTGTGTTAACATGTATAACCTTCTGATAATTCTGATAATGATGTTATGAAATATACTGATTTGACTAAGAATATAAGTATTAAACCTATAAATGATGCATCATTTATGATTATAGTGTTTGCTGTATATCATACTGTGTAAAATGTATTTTTCAGATTTCAGATACTATTTTTTTGGAGGCTGAATAAGCTTTCTTATATATTTTGTTCATGCAGATTAATCAGTATATTATTCATTCCGTAAATACAGGAGGAAGATTTTCCACCAAGAGATGACTTCAGTGATGCTGATCAGCTAAGAGTTGGTAATGATGGGATATTCATGTTGGCGTTTTTTAGTAAGTTGTTAAATTGTATTTTAAATAAGATGTGAATAGAGCATTTTTGCACATACAGTAATTATAAAAATAAATGCATATTATTTTTTACAATACTGTGAAGCAAAGGCAGGTTGTAGGGAGTGAATGTTGTTGTATGATTTTTAGCCTAAGGATACTGCTATTGTTAGCTATGCTCCATCTGGTGGTGATACCGTGAAATGCAATTTGTTTTTTAATCAAGATCCCCCTGGTGGTTAAAGATAAATATTATGATTAAATTTATATTGTAATCGTTAAGGTAATGATTAAATCTCAGTTGCAACTAAATTTAAACTAATCTTCTAAATTAAAGTTAATATTTTTTATAAATTCAGTTATTTGTACAAAGTATTTTGTGATACACCCTAAAGTATATTTTTTAACATGCACACTTGCTCACAAATACAGTGCTTATGTACTGTTTCACACGTCATCAGTTTATTTTCCAAATTCATCATTGTATTTAAGAGATTTTTTCCTTTCTCGTTTAACTTAGTTCATTCTATAAATGTTCAGCTATCTTTAGTTATAGTGACTCTGGGGCAGTCTTTCATCAGAAAACATATATTGCCTGTCCAGCTTTCTACTTTACAAGTTTGGAAATATTTTAGTTCTCTTATTTTGTTGGAACATGCATTTTCCTAAATGTAAATTTCTATCTCCCCCTTTTAGTTTCTCTTATAGGGTATCACAACATTTTCCATTTATGTATATAAGTTCATCAATGTTCAAAGCTGCTAAACTCATCTAACATTTAGAGTTCCATTTCAGTTTTTCTGTATTTCATGATAGGCTGTAGACATTTGATTGCAATTAAATTGCATTGGGCTTCTTCATTTATAAAATGTTGTTTTAACACTATAAACTTTAGTTTGCCTCATTTTGGAAAACATTTTTCAATGTTCCAAAGTTTTCTGACATTTGTGCTACAGTGTATCCCCCATCTACCTTTGAAGTTAACCACTTTTTTGTGCTACTGTAGGACAGTTTACGCTGTATGGTATTTTCAGGTTATTACGATTCTGCTTTAACTTTCCCTTGATGAGTTTATTATTTCCAAATAAACTGTGTCAGATAACACCCATTTCATAGTTCACAGTTATAAACTTTAGTTAGTTTATTCTGTGTGTGTCTCAAGAACTGTTTTAAAACTACCTACTATTTAAAAACAGTTTTAAAACTGAAATAACCTTTTTGTTTTTTGACAGTGGCTTTTCTTTTCAACTGGATTGGCTTTTGTTTGTCTTTCTGCCTGACCAACACAATTGCTGGAAGATATGGAGCAATTTGTGGATTTGGACTTTCCCTTATAAAATGGATCCTCATTGTCAGGGTATGTTTAATAATATTTTGACGAGATAACTATTGAGATATTACGTTTATTAAATTAGTTCAGGAACGTCCTTAATTCCTGTTGCACTTGTGCATATTTAGATTTGGTCATATGCTGTTGTTTTATTATGAGAGTATATAATCTGCTGAACTGTATAAAAAGTGTCTTCTTGCCTTTTTACAAAATTTGCATCTCCGAAAATAATAGATGATGTTGTCAAAGATAAAAAAATGTACCATTAATCTTACAGCAAATATTTATTCAGTCAGTATTTCTCTGGTCTTATCATCACTGGTGCTTAACCATGACAGCTGCTTCACTGCCCTTCCATTTTATATTGAGTTTCATTTAACTGTTTTGAGCATGCTGCTGGGAAACTGAATACTGAACTATGTTGTGAACAAAAAATACTTTAATACGTTTTTCTCTATGACTTTGGATGAGATTAGGTAGGGAGATTAAGTAGGGAGAGGCCTGTGAAATTCAAAAGCAAGTGTTTTGTAAGGTTAATTGAACATCCCAATTTGATACAATTAACTTTTAGCTACTGGTGTATTAATATTTTAAGCAGCAAGATGCTCCATTCCTGTGTCAGAGGTTTCTTTGGTTGGCAGGTGTTTATCTGATAATTAATGTGAAAGACCCAGAACAGATGGATATGAAATTCACTTGAATATGGTTAAAAATGCATAGCTAGAAAGAAGGGAGCATTTATAATACCTAAAATGCTATGACTGTGCCAAACTAAACAAAAAGTAATATATCTCACCACACATTAAGCTCACAAGATTGTTATTCATAATAGTGTTACATAAGTGAATGCTGTTTATTTCATATTCACTTTTAAATAGAAAAACAACTTCTGAGTGTTTGTCTAAATTAAAACAAGTGAATATTAATTTGGAGAGCCATAGCATGACTGTCTGAATTTTAATACATTGCACTAATTGTAAAGAGCTTAATATATATATTTTTAATCTTAACTGCAATACCATGTCAAAGCTCAGGCTTAATCATGAAAAGGTTACTAGTCACTTTATTTATTTTTTTCAGTTTTCTGATTATTTTACTGGATACTTCAATGGACAGTACTGGCTGTGGTGGATATTTCTTGTCCTTGGTGAGTTATACATTTTCACTTTACAGCTGCCATAGTATTTTTTTCCCTTGGGTTTCAAATTTTCTCTTCTGATCACCCTGGATCATAAAATTCTAGCAAAAGCCAAAGTATTCAGCACAGAAATCAAGTGAGGCAACAAATACAGGTTCATAGCTGCTGTACTTCATAAGGGCCTTCATTGTGACTGTAATTATCTGCTTCTGCCACCTAGTGGCTGTTCTATTAATGGCCTTAATTTTGAATAATAGTTTATAATAATAGAGAATAATAGTTCCTAGGGAAAAACAGCAGTTATTTGCTTAATGTGATATATTTATGATAAAATAGTGATAAGTATCTGTAAAACTTAAAATGTAAAAAATCTAGTCAGAGTACAACTAGAAACTACATGGAAATCTTTTTACAACCAAAAACAGGAGGCACTTATTTTCACAAAGGGCTGTGGAAGTATGGAGCAAGCTACCTAGCCATGTTGTTGAAGCCAGTACCATCACTTCTTTCAAGAAGAAGCTGGTTGAGGTCTTGGATTTATTAACTACTAACTAATAACCAAGGGGGCTAGGTGAGCCGGATTATAAAATTATAATTTATAACCTTTATGTTCTAATTATCTTAACTAAATTACTTGAAGGTCCTAGAGATTCCAATTTTCTATCCACTAAAATGTATTTTTCATTGGATTCAATGGACAAAAGATTTTTATTTATCAGTGTTTAATAAATCTTGTCTCTTTTTGGTAACTCATTATAATTAGTTTTTGAGACTTTTGTAATGTTTTTAAATGTATCCTTCATTACTGTGTTTGTAGGCACGTCTAGTAGTAATGTGATGTTCTCACACCTCACTTAGTTAATTTGGCAGTCTGAAACATACTTTAATTCCTCTTATTTGTTGCAGATACTCTTCAGGCTTGCTAAGACTTTTTTTTTCTTTTAATTATTTGAATTGATCTGATATTGTTTGTTTGTTTTTGATAGTTCTGATTGTGCAATTAAGCTGATCTACAAATAATCAATGATAGTTAGGCATCTTCAGTGAATGCTACTGTATGCTAGAGTGCTTTGCTGTCTGGATCCCATTTTTGCTGCACCTCAGTGAACAGAAGCTCTTATCCATAGGCCAAAGTCTGTTTACCAGCTCAACTTCAATTCGTTTATGTGAACTGGCTTTTGAAACCCCAAAACCACAAGGCCATTTTCCAACAGTAGCAGTCTCATTTGTTTAATAGAGAACAATCTTACCAAGAGCCAACTCTGTGGCTGAACTGCCAGTTTTAAAAATAATTTTAATCTTTATTCGTTTTAGTAGCAAGCATCCCAAATTTGTTGCAGGCAGAGCTGTTTGTATGTAATTAAAGCTAAGCTGAGTATGTTGTGTCATTACTTTTTTCAGTAAAGTATAATCAGTTAAATATTATTTTGTTGAATGGAATTAATGGATCAAACAGGTCCACAATAGACTTTAATAAAGTTGGCATGTATTTCTCATCTAGCAAGAGTAATTGCAAGACAAGATAATAATGAGTTTCAGATATATTATATTATAGTGACTGTCCCATATAAAAATGCATGTTTTCATGAAGTGAATTGGCTACAACGAGAATAAGTCTATAATTTGGCTGGTATACCAGAAATCACATGCTTAGAGTGAAAAGGGTTACATGGTAGCCTTAGTGCAGCAACGCATGCTTGGGATGCTGGCATATTCTCTCATGGATTGGCATCAGTTTTTGTCCAGCCTGCATATGCAACAAAGTCGTGTATCTGTGTATAGCTGCTATATTTTCATACTTAGGAAGTACAATATAAATAATGCCGTTACAATGAGTTGCAATTGTGAAGAAAAGGAAAGCTGTTAATCTGGAACAAAAGCTAACAAAAGCTTAATGCTATAAAGCAATATTAGAAAAATAAAAAAGTGATATGATTTGCACCTCTGGGTGTAGTTGTATGTATTGTTAAAAATAGTTTATGAGAAATGTTTCCACTGCAGAATCACTTTGTGTAAATACTGATGCATGTAATGCACTAAAGCTTACCACAAAAACATGTATTATGCAAAAGTAAAACATTCATACTAATATAACCAATTACTATGGAGAAAATCTTTGTTTTTGTGAATCCAAACTCTACCCCAGCCCCTTAATTCCCATTGAACCAATGGTTTTTATAATGTGGTGTTTTCCAGGAACACAACTATTGTGTTATAGCAGAAATACCTGTATTTAGTTTATATGCAATTAAATCTAGCCTTTTAATGTAATTTTAATAGGGCTAATTAGCCATGGATTATGATTGATAGAATACATGCAGCTTGAAATGTAAGATGTTCTGAATACTTTGTAAAAGTATAGGTTAAAAAAAAGTATTATGAATAGAGCAGCCATCTATTTATTATTATAAGGTTACAATTTGTTTTTCTCTGGGATATCTGCCACTTTCCTTCCCCTTTTCTGTTTAAATTTTTTATGGAATTGGTTCTCATGGATAATAGTTAGCCAGAAGTTACAGTCATGGCCAATCTAAAATGTTACATTTTGCCTTAGTCATTATACCACCATGTGTTAAATTCAACAATAAACTTTGCAATTGCCTAATCATGGACTTCCAATAACAATAACATTCTTAAACATACCTGAATTTAAATTCTTTAAATTAATTTCACAAAATATAATATTATATTGAGTAACTCAAAATCATGAATAATGCTAGGTTAGAATTTGGTTTCAATGCAACTCAGTTGAGTTAATCGACTACTGACTTAAGACTACTGACTTAACAGTCTGTAATCCTAGCAGAATGAAGAAGTGCTAAACATAGTTTTTTAACAAGAACTATAGCAATGTCTGCAATTTTCACCTGATTTGTGTCCGGAAAGGCTAGAAGTACATGTTTGAGATCTTCAAACTCACATGGGATTTATATTTAAGTAAAGTTTTCACTCCACTGGAATTTACATTGGTGATTGGTTCCTAAAATGTCAACCGAACAATGATTCTTCCTTAACCGTATTCTGCAACATGCTAGTTGCAATATGCAATAACACATGCAATAATAAATCTTTTCTTTCTTCAAGGCCTGCTTCTCTTCTTCAGAGGTTTTGTCAACTATCTGAAAGTTCGTAACATGTCGGAAAGCATGGCAGCATCTCATAGAACACGTTTTTTCTTCTTATACTAAAGGTAAAAAAAATCCCTGTTTCTCATTTAATTGGTTTAGATTATTACTGCTAAATTAATGTTAATTATTTTTACAGTTAAAATTTTGAATTTTTACTGAAAACAATTGAAAGATGAAAATGAACGCTTATGTAAACACTTTTTAATGTTCTGCTAATTGCACATTACATTTAAATGTGTTTTATAGAATGTTTAAATTCACTTTTGCAAAGATGAAAACATTATGAGTTTTAACTGTTATGGGTTTTCACTTCTGAATATAGTTCACTACATTGAATACAATGTGTATATTTTTATTTTATGTCAACATTGTTGTTCTTCACATTAACTTAACTACCTTGACAATGGGTTTTGTTTTTCCAATATTTTTCAGTATTTTCTTGTTTAGAATTATGTGAAAGGGTGGTTGTGCCACCAAAATGTGTGGGAATAATAACATGGACAGTTTTTTTATGTACAGAGACTATAAAATAAGCTCAAGGAAATTGTACATATGAATACAGCATTAAAACTTGTCAATCACCAATCTAGTACAGTGATGTGTAATGTAAAGCAGTGTGGAAGGCCATAGGTGTTGCCCTTAGCACTTAAATTGTTACAGCAACAGAATTGACAAGCAAGTGCAAAAACTTTGGCATCCTTAAATATGGGTGATTGAAAACCATGCACACATCACAATTAGTTTTCTTTCTACCTTGATAAGCCACAGTTGGTCACCAAGGCCAACTGATTGCCCATCAGTGATCTATTGTGTTTGATTTTAACATTTCAAATGTTAAAAATATCAAAATCTTGGTAAAAGACCTATTCAGGCTTCCGGATAGAATAGCTGCAATCCTATTGTTCTTGGAAAGTTTGGAAGGTTGTCTTTCCTTCCAACACCAAAAAAGACAAGTTCCTTGACTCTGGTACAGACATTATGAAAATGTTTTCACTGGGTCACACAGTATGGCCACTATATTCAATTTTGCTTGATTTTAGGAGATGTACAGAGCTCAGTTTCTCTGTACAATAATACAGTATAGGGTAATAGTGCAGCTGTGAACTTTCATGTGTATAAGTCTTTCATTTCTATGATTGATTCTATTTTAAGAAGTGTGTATAGGTCAAATTACATGGCTGCCATATTGGGTTTTGAATGAAACCTGTACATGACTTCAGGAGCCCATTGGCTGACTTACATGAATCTTTGTGTATTTTAACATTTTGCTGCGTCCTCTCAGTCATATTAAAGAAATGTGGAAGAGACATAGCTGCCATGAGCCATCAAAACTAAAGTTGGTAAAATTGCCAAATTTAAATATGTATTGTAAACCCTTGTAAAATTATAAAAGTGTACATACCAATATGAGACAAATAAAGCCTAATGAAGATAATATTTATATTTAAAAAGGAAAGATAGCAGTTTCAATGTTTGAATTTTTTACTCTCTCTCTCTCTCTCTCTCTCTCTCTCTCTCTCTAGGACTGCAGCAACCAAACATTCCTTCCTAATGTGAAATTCCCTGGTGATTTGCAACTTGCGGCTTAAACTGGATACAAGAATGCAGAACTGAAGTATTGAGAACATCTCCAAAATAATTTGACTTTTTTTCTACATCAGTGCAATCAACTAAGACATTTTCATGTAAAGTTAATCTTATAATAGTTTCTCAAAATCTGAAGGGTACATATTAGTTGAATTTTAAAAACAAGACAGCAATATGCAAAAAATGCTCCACAAACATGGTGTCAGAAACTTGGAAATTTAAAAACAAATGCCATCCTGTTTATTTCAAAACAAAACCCACTTGGAATTGATACAGAAAATATATTTTTCCTGGTATTATACAAATTTCACTTTAGCAAGGACAGCTTTCTTGATTTATAGCTTAAAATGCTTCATTTCATAAAGCTTCTGCTGATTTATATTATGTATGCACTATTAAGGAGCTTTTATTTTTTCAGCTAAAGACATGATTGTCTCATTAGCTGATAAAATTAAAACTGGAATTCATATTTAGCCCAGGCTCACACTTGCCTTTTGCACCTTTATTACATGTTTCTTATTTTTTTAATTAATATGTAAACTGTGAAGTTTTTTTTGTCAAACATTTTCTTTAATACTGAAAATTAACATTAGACAAGTTTGTTTTTCTATGAAATCTCTCAAGAAGCCTTTAATCTTACAAATAATACATGCATGATTAACCTTGAATTGGTTAAAAGACTTCTTAAAAAAATGCAAAACTAGAAACTACTGTATGTTTGGAAAACCATTCAATTTTCAGGAGACATACTTTTGAATTATGAAAATTCATTGTATGGTTGAAATTGAGCTGTCTTAAAGCATAATGCTAATAAAGTTTAAAATGATTTTTTTGTTAGATTTTCACTTTTCATCTTTGAATAAGATCATGCTTTTATTTATCAGTTTTTATGGGACTGATTTGTTTTAATCTTACTGAATTAATTTCTGGTGTTGCTCTGTTATTTTTGTGGGTTTAAACGGTTTTTCAAACTATGTGGATTTATGTATTGTGTTTGATATTATTTTTTATGTTTAATTACATTGTTTGAAATATCTAAAATAGCTGAAAGGTCTGTTTAAAGCTAGTTTTAGCAAAATGAGCTTAGAGGTCTTTATTTCAAGTACATTTACAGCTTGTTTATCCCTAATACTGTTCTTCCAGCAGTGAAGTCGTGCACGATTTTTTCCTTTTCTCAGTATTGTTTGGTCTGTTCTTTGCAAGGGTCATGGAGAATACTATAAGGAAAAACTCAGAGCCTAAGCATAAAGCTCAATAAAATCTGATAAAGGGCTACAAAATCTGCCCAGATTTAAAGGCAAATCAAGGTGCTTGAGGTGTTTGTCAGTGAATTACAATTTGCTGGTGGTAGATGACAGAAATCAGGCATTTCTGATGCATATTGAATGTTTTCCCAAAGCAGCAGAATTTAAAAATCTAAAAAGATTTTGTGATCATTACTAAGGAAGCGATGTTAATGTATTTTAATAACTTTAATTTAATCACATTTTAGCAATAGATATAGTGTTATTTCAGATGAAAAACAAGGGTAAGATCCAGGTTTCTAGAAATCCTTTGAGATTGTACTCATAAGGATTGCCCTGGGGAACTCCAGTTATCAATGGAACAGGTTGTGGAATAAATCTGCTGCAAGTTATACACTTTATACAGTTTGGTGATTATGAAACCATGCAAGGGAGTTCATTTTAAGACTTACAACTTTTTTGTATAGATTGAGTAATGTATAATATTAAAGAGTCTATAAAATGACAAATTGCTATTTCTCAGCTGAGAGCCATTATATCACTGAAGGTTTAAGGCTGCTTTAACACTTCCATGCCAGAATAAAAATCAGACTTTGAAATAACTCTGTTATAGAAAATAATCTGAAAAACCAAGAGACAAGTCAAAGTTGCAAATATTCCCCAGAATTGTCTACATTTATAACCCGAGCCAGGTAACCAATTAAAAAAACTAGACTTTTTAGAGCCAGGTAAACCTTTTGAAAGTCTAGAGTAAGATTAGCAGTGGATGAAAGTCAGTCATCAGTGAATCGACAAATAGCAACATAAATCAATGAGGCCATCTCCTATAATTTAACCTGCAAACAGAAATCATCATGTTGGGGGGAAAAACAAAGAGGCAAACAAACTAGAAAAAAAGAGCACAAACAAATTAAAGATAGGAATAGATACAAATACATTGCAAAGTGATACTATTCTAGATTTGCTGAAGTGTAACTGGCAAATCTTGAAAAGGGGCATTTTAACCAAATTTCAGCTTTATGTGTTCCACTCTCAACAGATTTAGCACCAGGATGAATAAACATTTTTGAGAAGTGTAAAACAGCTATTTGCATAAGGGCATGATAAAAGCTTGCTGTTTAACTGTAATGCAGCATGGAGTAGTGGTTGGTGTGACGGATTAAAATTCTGGATAGAGAACTGTTGTACTCTTGAACAAAGTACAGTACTTCACTCCCATTGCTTCAGTAAATGTGTTGCTGTAGCAAAAGGTACATTCTAGGAGGTCACTATTTTATTTATTTTGTTCTTAGTTGATTTACATGGTTAAATGAATCAATTAAAGTTATTGTTCTGCATTGCTGTTCACACCGTTCTGTATATATGTCCATTATTAGAAAGCTGCTTACCCTGGTGAGGTTTGTAATAAGCCGGAATCTGTACTGGAATGATAGAGCACAAGGTAAGACTTGAAAGCAAGAAAGCACGTGATCACTCTTGCCCTGGCAAGATGCCAGTGTATTTTGTAAGTTGGTGTATTTCTAATTAATACTTTATGTATTTCTCAATGATGCTGCAGTGCATGTATGTTGGTAGGGGTTTGCTCCTTTACCTGATAGTATGGGAAGTAATGAGAAGACATCACTGAGGCACTACTTGATGAAAGTGGGTGTGTGGTGCTGATCTGTTTTATTGCTGCTTGATGGAGCAACAAGTTGTATGGAGAGCTCAGGAGAACAGCAATGAGTAAATCATTCCTTTCAAGTTTCTTCTAAACTATTCTGAGCTCTTTTGTTGTTAGTTGAGTTCCAAATGCAAACATTTTACAATATAAAAAAAAACATGTGGAAGGCACACTATAAAAAGCAAAATAATTATACAGCACATTATACATAATTTCATTTTATAGTAGAAATAAATACCAGGTCAGGCTTGAGTAGACTGCAACAAAAGCATATTAAGAATGAATAGATTATGTACAGAAAATGATTTTCTTACATTGTTTATTTTTCAATGTCTTATTTGATAGTACACAGACTAGGTTTTCCCATACTATGATAATGTTTGGGTCCCTGCCCATTCCAACATGATACACGTTTAACAGCCAAATAGCTTAATAGTGTTGCTTCATTACATACCGCCTTCCCCCTTTCCACATCTAAAACTGGGCAAAGGCAAAAGTGAAGTAGCAAAAAGCAAACTCAATAAGACGCACACAAAAAGATCTGTGCTGACAGTAGCTGTCGACAGTGTTTCTGAGCCCTGCTAGTAGTTGAAGCCAAATTAAGCACATTGTATTGATTGTGATGCATGCTGTCTGTCCCACCCTAGTGGAAGTTTTTGGCCTTAAGTAAACAACACTTACTAAGCTGGAGCTTTGGAGTTGTTTACACAAAGATAAAGCAGCATTCATAGAAATGTGCATTGAGCTGGTTTTAAGCTGGAGGTGGCTGGTATATTTAAAGCAGCCTGATCTAAAGAAACTTGTAAGTTATTAGGAAAATACAATGTCTGTGGTTTATTGAAGTGTGTTTAAACTAGAGCAAACAGCTATGGACTTTCGTAATTTTGGCATTAAGGTACTTAGATTTATATATAGTTTTGAAAATAAAAGGCATTCCCGTAAGCATGAGAAAAGTGGTTACATTTTTTTCTTAGTCAAAGAAATGGCTCTTCACAGTCCATCGAAAAAGAAACAGTGCATGCCCACTATTAGTAGAGCCAGTGCTTTTTGAATAGGGAGGAATCTGTGTGAATAAAGAAGGATTTTTACATTTAAAGAGCTAGATTTTCCAAAAGGTGATTTTTTTATGTATTGGAACAATGTGTATTTCTGAGTAAAAGAAATGGCTGTCACGTCAATCTTTTTAACTTTTTTTTATATCTGACATATAACACTTAACACGGAGTTAAGACTTGTTTGCAATGTGTTAATTATGACTCAAAATCAACATCAACCACATTTCCTTTCATTTTAAATGGCAAAATGCTTTTTCTGAAAATTTGAAACAGACCTTCTCTTTGAATTTTAAATAGGTTCAATGCTTATCAAGACTAGTTAATTTGCCAACTTTGCCAGGTAATATGGATCAAATACATACTAATAAAGTGAATTTAAATGTTCTGCATTTAAACAAGATCGGCTGCCACCCTTTATTTAGGGAAGTCAACACTTGCACTCATTTGATGATTAATGACTCCTGTGTTTGAAGTTAAGCTCTGCTATAAACAGTACAATGCAACCTATATATATTGATTAAATGGAATGCTTGAATAACTGTTCTATCCGACTTGTGCTGGCTGATTGAATTGCAAGATCCGATAAGGCCCTAGTTCTGTAGTATGCCCACCCTTGGTATTGTTAGTCCATCCATCCATTTTCTACCCACTTTATACAATATTGGCTCGCAGGGGAGCCAGAGCCTATCCTGTCAAGCTACGGGCACAAAGCAGCATATACCCTGGACAGGATGCCAGTCCATCACAGGGCACAAACACACATATTACCAGGACCAATTTTTCCAGAAACAAGTTAACCCACCTGTATATTTTTGTGTGTGGGAGGAAACTGGAGCATCCAGAGGAAGCTCATGGGAACGCATGGAGAACATGTAAACTCCACACGGACAGCAACCCAGAAATTGAACTCAGTACTGTGGGTCCATCCTAACACTGTGAGGCACCAATAATATTTATGGAAGTACAGCATGTAAACATTATTGGAAAACTATGTAATGCCCATTAATACTTGTAGTTACTGTATGTCTGATACATTCTTGTACTTATGAAATGACTCTCTTAATTGTAAATAAATTAACTAAGCAATTTAGTAGCTAATCCTAAATAAGCATGGTGGCATGCTAATA